GAACTTCTCTATTGTTGCCCTCCCCTTCTGTAAGTGGCATTTTCATCTCGCATTTAGGGTAACTCAGCTGAAGATATTTGGAGGGTTTTTTTTGTTTGTTTGTTTGTTTTTTAAGACTCATAATTCAGTTGGTTCTGACCAAATGGCTCACTTCATTAGATGAAGTTTTAAAGTATAAAAGTATAAAGTATATTTTAAAGTTTAAAAGTATAAGCCAATTTTAGTGTTTGATAAAGCATTCACACTTAATTACATTATATTTAATTTTTATCTTGAAATAGTTGACGGAAGAGCCCTAGTTGTATTTCTGCTAATCTTGAGAAAAAGAGGAAAGAATCATTTTGTTTAAGATTTCAGCAGAAAGAAATTAGCTATGGCCTCCTCACGGATCATTTGGAAAGGTGATCTGYTTGGTGGAAGTGATATATGGCAATGACAGAATTTATTTTTGCTTTACTGCAGTCTTTACCGTATTTCTTACATGTATGAGTCTCCTCCTTAGTGCTCTGCTGCTCCGTAACAGCCCTTGTTTCTCTTTATCCTACCATGTGATTGATTATTTATTTATTTATTTATTCATTTATTTTATAGGGTCAATAGGGAAGGAGATCTTCACTTGAGCTTGCTTTTTTCCTATGTTAACTACTTCTTAATTCAGATTACTTCTTCACCCTTAGCATCCCCCGTCATGAAGTTCTGTGTTACGGGGTGGACTCTCTCGTTACCCCCTCAAGGTTTGGGTCATTGCTCTCCAGGTAACGCTTCACTGACSAGAGGCAGCCGAGGCCTGTCCTGCTGCTTCCCAAGCTAAGCTGGAGCCCTGCCTGTTGCAAGGGCTTGGGCACAGGACAGAACCAGGGTCGTTCCTGTGCATCTTTGCTCTCCTTGCCACCACTGCAGTAGTGGTAGTCATTGTCTTTGCCTCTTTCTGTCGTGTTGATTGACTTTTACCCTTCTGATCACAATGAAAAGGCAGCGAGAAGGGCACCTTTGTTACCCAGCTCTCCTTTCACTGCTTGTCCTACAGGAAAAAGACAGTTTCTAGTTTTGCTAATGGCCCCGGCCAGATTACCTTGAAGCTGCAGGGAGCTGGGAGATCTGTCTCCTGCCGCAGAATTTTGTGTCCCCTGAAAATGTCAGTAAACATTTTAAGTGCCACTGCTTCTCTGGGAGTCTGAAGTGACAGCGATTCATCCTGGCCACAGCACTGCTAGGGGCTCCTATATCCCTTGAATAGAGTATTGAACATTATTCAGTACTTGACAGTGAGTGAGATTTTTGACACCCAGGCACATTTCATGTCATTTTTATTTTTCTGTCATATTATCTGTCTTTTTTTTTTTTTTCAGTCTTTCCCTATAGTAGGATTGATTGGATTAAGATGAGCACATCTTTCATATCTCTCCAAGATTAAATCAGAGGCCCTATTTTTAGTCAGGAAGATAAAGTTGAAATTCACTTTGCAGCCAAAGAAATTCAGAAAAATAACAGTATTAAAGGGCTGATAATGAGACATAAGCCAGCCAGAATGTAAATTATAGCTTTGAGTAATTACTGTGTAAAGGCACTGATAAATAGTAACCTTCACTACAATTAYACATTTTTGTCAACTGTGAGCCATAGTTACATTAGTGGAATAAAGTAGCACAACTTAGAGGCTGTTTTTTAGAAACAAAGTTTTAGAACTGCATTACAACTTCTGCAGATGAAAGCMGAGTGAAATTAAGCTAATTCATGAATATTTTCATGCTCTACATAGTTCTGTTTTATGGCTCCTGTAAAGATTAAAGAATGTTCCTGCTTAAGTACAGCTGAAAAGATTGAAAGCAAATACCTAAACTGAGTCAGTCTCAGAACTGTATGGATAGAACTACAGTAGCCAAAGGAAAAAGGGGGTTGAAACGGTATGAAATGGGTAGGAATGATGCTTTTGTATCCTCAATAACTCCTACACACACACAACTTTTCTCCCCTCCTCCTAATCTTTGCTGTCTGGCATAAGGGCCAAAATGTACAGGATATCTCACTGCGTCCTAAAGGTGAAGATCTTTTTATGCTGTTAYAGTGTGTGTGTAAGAAAATGCTGAAGATTGTTCCCTTTGGGATACTGGTCAACTTCAGTAAGTCATGGAATACTTTGCACATTAAAGGACTGTTTGCGAGCAACACATAAGTTGCTTGTATTGCCTAATACCCTTTCTTGGAGAAAAATAAATACATAAAAGAATCCAAGGTCTGGGGACTTTCCCAAAGACAAAATAGGATCTAATTTATATAGGGCAGAATTTAAGCAGTGGCAAATGTAAAACATTAATTCCTATCAAGTAAGTCCKTATATGGATATGTTTTATTCTTGAGAATTAGCCTGGAAAGACATTTGTTTTAGTCACTTTTTTAGTTCATTTTGTCATTCATGGTATTCCTAGGGGAACAACCTGAAGTCACTCTCTGAAAAGCTGCTTGTACAATATGATTTTCTTTTTATTGACCTTGAGCTCCAAGAAACACCTACTGAGAATTAGCAGTAGCAAAGAACACATTTTAAGGTTGGATTTCTCTTTTGTGGTGTAGGTCAGTGAAAATACAGGAAATACTACAGTGTTTAAATACTGAGAGGGTTGAGAAATATKATTTCCTTTGAGGTATTGAAATACATGGTTTGTATTTCATATGACTTGGAAGAATTTGTTTGTTGACAGACTCCAAAAAGAAATACTAATGCAAGAATACTTCTAAGAAATAGAAAAAGAAAAGCTGAAACATGTGAATGTTCTATAGGTATATAGTTTATAAAGGTCCACATTCCAGAGCTAAAAAACTAATTCAGAAACATGTTCTGATTTAAAGTACAAATATATAGCTTCTTAGTAGTTGGGGATTAATTATAAATAAAAACCATTTAACTTAATACCACCTTCTTTAGTGTTTTATTAATAGTGATCCTGCTACAAATGTGCATTAGAATTCATAATGATGATAACCAGATGTCTTYGTGCTACTCAGAAATGAAAATATTAAATCAATATTTTGCAATAAAGCAAAATGTAAAATAAAACAGGCACAAGCTGTGTAGAAGAAAAATGTATAGGCAAAGAAAAAAGGCAATTACCAAGATTTATAACTGAAAATTAAGGCATAGTTTGGACGATTTTTCTAATGGGTAGGTAACTATCTTAAAAAAGACTGGTTGTCTTTATTGAAGCATTAAAACAAAATGTTGTCTGCTTAGCAAATGACCTCTGCCTTGCTAAAATTACACCTCTCGGAAGGAAGATGGAATAACAGTTTGGGTTAAGTGCATACCGGCCTCTACCTCTTGTGTGCCTCCCTCTGCATTCCTGCGCTTTTGATGTTTTTGAGGGAGCTCTAGCAGAGCAGGAGCCTTGAGGACACTTGCACAGAGRTACAGACTATTCACAGTCTGTACTCTTGATGCTGTGTGTTGTCTGAATAAAAGCTGATAATTGAGGGTAGTGTCAGGACAGTCTGTGGGTTTCCCATTTTATGTGAATCCAGCCTGTTGGCCACCTTGAGGATGACTATTAAGGAGATGCTGGTCGCAAATGTATCTGCTCTGAACCTGATGAAGCAGCTRTAAGATCTGAAGCTGAATTTATGGCCTTTCTTAGAGTAATGCTTTTGTTAGCGAAAGTTTCAGCCATCAATTAGCTTGTTTTCAATATTTCAGTTGCAAACAAGGATGCTTTTCTGCATATTCCTTCAACTAAGCAGGTGCATCAGGACCTAAGTGGAGAGCAGGTGCAATACGATGGCCCCAGGTGTATAGTATAGTTATTTGTGTGGATTAATTCCAGACTTTTAGCCGAAGAGCTTTATTCAGATGACAGTGAGGCTTTACCTCAGGTACTGAAGGAGAACATCAGGGTGATGCTGAAGCAATCTGCAGATTTGAGTTGAGCCTAGAAAAACGGAGTAGAGAAGAGCATGTTTTAAAGCCATGTTTAGTGTAGTCATGAGCTCTCGGTTCCCCTACGTTCCTTTAAAGTTTTAGGAGATTAAGTAAATTTCTTTTTTTTGTTTTTTTTTTTGTTTTTTTTGTGTGTTACGACATTATGACCTACCCATTTCAGGGTGAAATTAGTTGGTACATGGTGTTGAAGAGATTCCCTCCTCACCCCCAAATATTACTGGCACTGTATGATGTTTTTGATTGAAGTGTCTTTGGAACAAAGCATTGCTGCAAAGGAGGAAATACTAGCATGTATAAGCACCAGTTTTCAATGTCTGACCTGTCAAGAGTATCTAAATTGTGGTTTATTTATGCAAAGATTTTTCATATGTTGAAGACCTATATAGTCATGGTATAAATGAGAGGCTASTAGTCTGCAGAGCTAATTCTAAGTCAGTTCTTCTCAAATGTGACAAATTGCATGAATGCTTAATGGAGAATATGGTTTGGTACTGATAAGAGAGGAGGAATAGAGTTGTATTAGAGTAGCTTCTATCTTCAGGTCTGGGATTCATTACTGAGCAGAGCTGGTTGCCTCTCGAGTCCTTTTTTGGCCTGTGCTACTGGCTATAAGTCAATTCAAAATATTTTGAGCTCTCTGCTCAATACATGAATTCAAAGGAAACTGGATTTTAGGAGAGTTTCTGGAAACTTTCTGTCTGCAGCTGTGGAAATAGGCAGGACAGGGAAGAGAAATGGGAAAGACCCATTGGAAAGACCCAAAACTTCCAGTGGCATCTGTGGCTGGAAAGCGTTTGCTTTGTTTTTATCTCATTGGTGAAAAGCTCCACTCCTGTTTTTGTCTATTGGGTAATTTGATACCAGATGTGATGGAGAGGCTCCCTTCTTTCCATATCCTTGAAGTTTATCATTTTTAGTGTGTTAGCTAGCACAGCCTTTGCGCCAGCTGACGCTCTAAGTATGAAGTGATTCAATTCTTTTAATGAAATGCTTCATTATTTAAGTTTTTTTTTCTCAGAAAGCTACAGATGTTTGATTTTCTTTTGTGTTTTCTTTTTCACATCTCTAGCCAACAAGGACACTAGTTATGACAAGTATGTCTGCCGAGTAAGTACCAAACATTTTCACCCTTCATTCAGCTTACAACTTCARCTTGAATGTCGTTAAATTTAATGTGTTAAAATATCTGACTTCATTCTGCCTTCTAGCTGAAAACACACAACCATATTTTGTTATTCTATAYGCTGTGTAGGTACTTGAATGTGTGCCTGTGTGTTTTGATCTAGACAGAAGTAGTTTTTCCACAGGTGAGCTCAATAGGGCTTGAAGGTAATAAAACCAAAAATTTTAAGCAGGTTGTGAATTGTTCTGAAGGAAGCATAAGATGTTGAGTTTTATGAGAGAAATGGTTCAGGCTTTTAGCCCAAGAATTTTCTTTTCCACACAGATTTCAATTATTTTAATAAAAAATGCCATTATGATCTAAAACATCAGTTTGAAGTGTTTCTTTCACATAAATAGTTGCTGAAGAAATATCAACTTTAGACGTTTTAGCTGCTCTAGTTGCAAAACATTAGGAGCAGCTGCCACTGCATATTTGGAGAGGAGTTAATATTTTTTCTAGCTTGGTCTTATCATTCTCTTAAAACTCTTAGAAAATAAAGAACATCCAACAAAAACACAATTTCATATTTCATACTCTGCTCATTTCAGTGTCTGAATTCTTTTTCAAAACTCCACATGTTTGTACAAAATATTTCAGGTTTAAAGAAAAATAATTAAATCATGGCAGTTGCGCAGATGTGGGCGCTAAGAAGGAGCCCCCGGCTGCCTTTTAAAAAATTCTTTGTAAGTGATTGTCAGTAGYATTTGTCAAGTCTACGATAGGTCAGAAGCAAAACTAATAGTACTTTTAGTCTAATAAAATGGATACTAATAACACAGAGACTATAACTGCACTTCTCAAATCATGCAATACATTATCATTGTCAGGGAGCTCAAGATAATAGCTGTAATGTAGATGGGAGTAGCAGAAAGCCAGAGGTGGTGATCTGCATTAAAAAAGGAGAACAAATGCTGCCAGAGTTGGGGAAAATATTTTGTTGAAAGAATGTTTGATGTGTTACTTAATAAACAGTTGCTGTTTCATTACATATTTTTAAAGTCTAATGATAACAGTTGCTGTTCTTCAGAACTTTTTCATTCAGATAGTGCTTTGGACTGTCTCGAGTCGTAGGCATCCATCAGCCGGTTAGTGGGGGACAGGAAAGGAAGTGCTGCTCAAAGAGTTAAGCAACTGAAAATATTCCTCCAAAGTACAGGCCAACAGACAAAAGCCAATGATGTTCAAACGGGTCAAAAGTAGCCAAAAGCTACTACCAAGTAGCTACAATGATAAAGGAGGCTCATTAATATTTAAGTTACAAGATATGTTAGTTTGATGGTTTAATGATGCAGTGCTTACATTAATTGCTGCTTGCTGGTTCAGTAACTGCCTGTTTTACTGAAGCACAAGTTCTGTGAAATTTTGCTGTAAATTTGTGTGCTGCAGTTTTTCTTAGCTGACTCAACTGAACTCACGATTCTTCACTGTAATTTGTGTTACATTTAGCTCTTAGTTGTATGGGACCTTTTATTTTAAAGATTTTTCTGTAGTCAGAAACATTGCTAAGAATGAAAATGTGTCACCTGAACAGGCCTAGGAAAGGTCAGCTTCTCTATGGGTTTATCTGTGGAAAAAAAAMCTCATAGGATATGTCAAGTTAAAACATCAAGTGAAAATGGAATAATATATAGTCCAGTAATATTCAGTACCGTTTGTTTCACAGCAGTATTTTTAATGAGAGTAGTCAGGGAAGCAACTGCAAATGAGACTCTGTTGTGCTAGCTATTGTGCACAAGCTGTGATAGTTTCTAGTTCAAATATCTTCTCTTTAGGCAGGCAGGATAAATTCAGAACTTTTATAAGATAAACTCTAAAAGTTCTAAAAGAACTTTTATAAGATAAAYTCTAGAAACTGAATCTGTATGTGATCAGGTTTTGTAATCATGTATATTCAATATTATATGCTTTTCCTTTTTCTTTTTTTTCTTCTTTTTAGAAAACAAAATACTATAATTCAAGTAGTGAATAAACTTGGRAACTTCTTGTTCTCGGATAACGTGTGTGATACAACAAGTCACGTAGTTGCAGGGAGTCCTCGTCGCACCCTGAACGTTATGCTAGGAATTGCTCGTGGATGTTGGATTGTTTCTTTCGACTGGGTAAGAAATACACTTTAATTTTACTATAGAACGAAGCAAACTTATTTTATGCATCTGAAATATCAGCTATCTAAGCAAGTGCATSTTGGGCTTACCTACTTGAATGGCTCAGCTAGAGGAACTTACCTCTGTGAAGCTCCGTGTTACCGTGACTGACTGTCATTTACTCCTAAATCTAACCAATGTATTCTTGTACTGGCAATGTGGGCAATGTGGAAACACCTAAAGCATCAATACTTGTTGCAGAGTGATAAAAAATGTCACATGCATTATTTCTGGAGAGCTTAGTGCCTAGATAAACCATTTCTGGTGTTATCCAAGGTATGGATTCTGAATAGAATAATGTATCAGGTTGTTGATGTTGCTGCTTATTTAATACACTTCTGTTTTGAAATGTAGTTTTGCTCAAATGCAATACAGGGCAGAGGAAAAATATAGAGGGATTACTGGATRTTTTGCTGGGCAGAGGTGAAACCCTTTTTTAACAAATATTTGGATCAAAAAAATGTTGTATATCCTTAAAAATTCCTATGAACTACCACATAAAGTTACCAGACGGTTCCTGTAAAGCCAAGCTAATGTAGTGAATTACTCCCTGTGATTATACAAGTCAATTGCCAACCATTTACTGTGACCTTACAGGCTGCAGTTTGTCTGCTTTCTTCATGTTCCCAAAGTTGTAAAACATAGCTGCTGAACAGCTATTTCCATAAAAATTCCATCTTGTATGAAAAGGGTTGTAGAATAATTTTTTTCTCAGAATACCTTAAAATTTAATTATTTGACTGAAAATAAAATAAATATTGATACCTTTTTGTTTACAAAATGTCTGTCTAAACCAGTGTGGAAAAGTTGGACTTGTATGTGTAGTTATCCGAAGAGGCTGTTCTGGTATCCTTTGGGTTTTCCTATCTTTGTGCAGCGGGCAGTCAGTATTCTGATAATTGGTGTTTTGGAGTTTCATCGTTTGTTTTATGCGCTGCCAGACTTGTCATTTTTTTGAACCAATTTGTGGTGAAAACATCAGTGTGCTCTTTGCCAAGCCAGTATTGACTGGTAGTGAAGCCAAATTCTCTTCTGCTTTGAATTAATTCCTATGSGGATACCATTGGACTCATCACAGGGTCAACTTGATCTTTCATATAATACCAATAAATTAGCGGAACCAGTTTCAAAGATTAAATGGTTCCTGTAAGTATTATTGGCTCAAATCCTGGAGTTGTCTTCCCACATTTTTACTGATCTGATGTCTAGACAATGTTTGGAAGCTTAGGAGAGCTGCATGAAAAKAATCTGGACGAAAAAATTAATTTAGTTCTCTAAATGACAAGATTTTTAAAAATCTATTCATAAGTATTCACTATATAATGTGTCAATATGGCTATTATTCATTTTTGTAGAGCTATCTTTCACTGAGGCTGGTTAGAGCTCCATTACAAATCTCACTGATAATTAGCAATTATTTTGTTGAGGCTTTTTGGAAAATGTGGCTTTGGATTTCAAAGAAAAAAATCCTAGTCTGGTTAAGCATCTGGTTAATACATGCATTTTGTTACTTTATTATCTTGTATAATAAGAACTTTCTTGTCTTATTTCTATTGATCATTGGCATAATTTTGCAGTGTTTTACTTTTATTATGTGATTGAATACTTACCAGAGAAGAAGCCTTACTTATAACCGTGAGGACTCCTATAGAAAGAGAGTCAGGAGAATTTCATTTGAGGGAAATAATCTTGCCCTTCTATTAATGCTCAATTACCGAACTTTTTAAATACCTTTCTATAGTGTAGTTAATCCTAACKTGAGTACTCTAACTGGTAAAATATTTCAAATTGGATACTTAAAATAGTGGTCTGTTTGATAGTATTAGTACTTTGTAAATAAAACCCACTCATTTTGYGTGGTGAAACTTGTTTTATGGAAGATCTGAACACTCCAAGAAGCTGAAGTGTTCCTTATTTGCTATTGCCCTTTGACTTTTATGTGGAGGGGAATTAGGCTGCAGTATCTTTTTTGTTTTCTTCTTTTTTGGGAGGGAGGGAAAAAAACACCTTAATTAATGTTCTCTCCAGATGCTAATGTTGGAGAAAACTCATATTCACAGTTAAACATTCAGTTTTCATAGAAGTCCTTTTACCTTTCAAGATAGATTTTTTTTCAAGTAAAAATACCATATGATCATTCAGTTTGTTAACTGGATGAGTAAGAGGCCTGAAAAAAATGAGCATCTAAAAGGTGTGTTTTCGGACACTTACATAATGTGGAAATTGGAATATAGCTGATAGAATTTGCAAGGGAAAACTTGGTGCTACTTCTAGTCTTAAAATCTGCAGGACACTTCTTGAAGCTCAGTCCCCTSCTGCTGAGTTAGATAAAGTAGCCCACAGGTAAGGAAGAAGTAACGAGGAGTGACCAGTATTAGTATGGAGTCCAAAGCCAAAGGAAAACTTTTCTTAAGAATGTAATAATAGGTCCACCCAGCAACCTATATTCATCCTATTTTCCTCCTCCCTCTCTTTCTTCCTTCCCTATGTCTTCCACGACCAGCTAGACTCAGTTTTAGTAGCAGTATTAAATATCAAATATACCCTGTCTTAATGTTACCTGCTTTATTCTGCTGACTTCCAATTTTCCAGGGTCTGGCATCCATGCTTGATCCATGCTCTGCTGCTTGGCAATTATGTTTTCAGTTAAGTCTTCTCTTGTAACTGTTATACAAGCTTGAAGACTTCCAAGTAATTTCTCTCAGTATAAATAGTTCATATATTCTTAAGAATTAAGGCTTTTCCTTATTCCTTCTCCACATTCTAAAGAATTATTTGAATAGAAGAATTAGTGGCTTAGTAAGAAAATGTAGTTCACTCAAGAATATTGATATCTTATGTTGGTATTACAGGGTTTTGAAGGTTTTTTTTCTGTTGCTATGACAATAGTTTGATAACATCTTTCCTGAAATTAGAAGCAACCTTTTCTGTGTTCATGARAACTTTGAGTGTTTTAGTGAGTGATAACCTAATTATTTACTGCAGGACCTGTTCATGAACTCTGTATCTAATTTCCTTTTAATCTAAGAAAGTAGATAAAGTGCCTCTGTACGCAGTTCCAGACCCATGATAGACAGGCACTAATCCATCTTGTGTTCAAATAAACAAAATTCATTTCTAAACAAGACTCTGTAAATACTGCAAGGATTGATMGAAGTTATTACTGCAAAATTGGCCTGTAAAATGAAATGAGATTATTTAAACATAACTAAACTTTGGGGGTTATTTTTTAATCTACTTGGGTTGTTTGCCAGTTACTCTTGGTGCAGATGACATTTTGGTTGCTCTGCAGACATGAGGTATATATTATGGAGCACGGTACATCTGGTGCTGCTCAAGATTTATTTACAAAGAAACAGTCTTCATAAAGCTTGTCTCTAAAAAACTGCATGAAAAGCTACAATTTTGTTGGTTCTGTGAAAGTTCATTTTTGCTGTGTGATTAAAAGAGAAATGTCTTGGACWAATAAGCTTCTCTTTTATTTGCAATACCTGTGTAAAGCTGTTAAGTATGAAGCTGGCAGATTTCTGTACTTATGTTTAGTTTTAAAATATATACATACCACCTTTAGAAATGTTAAACTTTAAGTTATAGTCTTAACTGAATGTTTTAAGAGATATTGTATTTGCTTTACAAAGAATAATGCATTGTGTTTCAATGCTCTCTTTAAAAAAAAAAAAAAAAAAAGTCATTTTTATTAGTGTTCCTAACTCATACTTTTTTCTTTGGTATGCTGATAATGACTACAGAAATAGTTTCTCCTTTTGTACAGCTGTTGCATTTTGAAACATTGAATTGTGTATTTTCTGAAAGTAAACATTTTATTCTCAGGATTTTTGTAAGCTGTTGCTGTTCAGTAGTCTGCAAAACTGAGCATGATTCCACCCACCCCCAACACAAGAACACAAGTAAAACACCATTTCCGTGGTCACACAAAGTACCAAATTTGCAGCAGCCTGTGTAAGAGGTGGTTGTTTTTCCTAAAAGTCATAAAGCATAAACTACTTTTGACCAAAGAATATAGATCTTTTTCCTGATAATTATGAGATTGCTTTAAAAATTCAGTTTGCAAGTTGCTTCTTGTAGCAATAGAATTTGGGGAAAAAGTTCTTTGTAGAAAGCTGCTCTAAGATGGTCTTATGTTTTTTGAAAAATCAATATTGGATTATAATCAATCTGTTAAGTCTACAATCATGTTATGTAGTCTGCACCACTGTAAAAGATAAATATAGTGTTTAATATCTATATTAAAATATATAATCTTAATATCTATTATACTGTTATGCTTCCCAAATTTTATTGGTCAAAAATTCTAGAATTTAAATGATACATAATAATAAATAAATTTATATGGCATCTTCATCCAAAAGAAGAAAAAAAAAAATTTGTAAATCAAATGTGGGAATATTTTATGCACCAATGAAATTCAGCTTTTTCTATGGTGGATAATGACTTAATTTAATAATGCATGACTATGCTAGCAGTAAGGAACAGACAGGATCTATCTGAAATGGCTAGAGAACTATTTAGGCAAAATGTGATTCCAAGAGAAAGAATTACACAAAACACAAGGAGTTATCTTCTAATTCCATATATTCAATATATTTATTTTGAGTGGCATATCCTTGTGCACTTAATGCTACTTAGTGCTTAAACAGCAGGGTATTGGGGAGTGTGATTTTTCTTTCTTTTTTTTTTTTTGTGAGTACATGAATCGTGCTCTCTCTTTAGCAGATAGGAATAGTTATTAGAATCATAATTAGGGATTGCCAAATGAGTGGGAGCTATAGAAAAGAGAGCTCAAATATCTCTAGAAGGGCAAGTTGCCAAATTGTGTGATACTGCAAAGAATTTGCCACTCTTATTAGCTGTTTTGCTGACTTTATTGCTCAGCTGACACTGATTAGGCCAATGGGGAGAAAATCAACTCCTCTTTCATTCGAATGTTTCTGTGTTTCAGAACTAAAACTATTAGTAGGAAATTAGTAGGAAAATGTATAGGCTCAAGGTTAGGCCATGATAGGAACTTYTTTTTTACATTTTTCATGAAGACATTGTTTTCTACTCCCCAAGGCATTATCTCTGAGCACTTTATATATATATATAAATATTATAGTCTACTAGCTGCTATATATAATGATAAATTATATATAATAATAATATATATTATAGCCTACTGGCTGTTATATATAATGATAAATTGCTTTCAAGAATAATTTAAAAGACAAACTGAGAAAAATCCCAGATGTAATATTTTTAGAAAGTCTTAGGAAAACACTGTATTTCAGTAATTGAAAATATAACCATTCCAAATAGTAGATAAAATGAGTTAAGAATCCTACAAATAAGGATAATACAATACCTACAATATTCATTTGTTCTTCATATATTGATATGCTAGAGAGCCATTTCTGTGGCAGGCAGAGGGAATGCCTTAACACACCCTCAGTTTTCAGTTTGTAAATCTGAGTGGGCCACATGGAGGGAATAATATCAGTGAACGTTAAAGTTGTTACCCATCTTGTGATGGCCCCATGGGAGCTGCAGAAATCTAAGTCTTAGGACAGCTGCTCTGCAAGGATCATGACCATCTCAGAGCTAAGCTCAAGTCAAATGATTATGTATTTTCTAGACTGTCAATGCTCTGCATTTCTAGACAACTTTGTGTAATCTAGAACRTGTTCTATATGTAGAAGAGAATATGCACCATTGACCTAAGAGGAGACAGGAGAGAATAAATTGGAACTGCTTTTCTTTAGAGGCTGATTTCCATATGTAATTTGGGTTATATGCAGTGCTTTCATAATTSCAGTTGCTCGTGCAATCCCCTGGGCTTTGGTGCAGCTCTGCATCAGTGACACGGAAGATGGGATGGGAGTGAAGTGCCTCTTCAGCAAGTTTGCAGATAATGCGAAACTGGGAGCTGATAAGCCAGAGGGCTGTGCTGCCCTTGGGAGGACCGCAACAGGCTGGAGAAACTGGCAGAAATTTCTCCTGAAATTCAGCAGAGGGAAAGTTCAGCACCAAGGAAGGGTTAAGCCCATTGCAGGTTGAGGGCTGACCTGCTCAAAAAGTAACTTTGCACGGAAGGATTGGAGTGTCCCCATTAACCACCAGTTGATCACCATCAATGCACCCTCATGGCAAAGGCGGCCAACAATGTCCTGYGCTGCGTTAGAAGTTAACTTTTTGACTATCCTGGCTTCCAAGATTTCTGACAACTGTAGCTCCCCACAAGCCACTATGACTTTAGTATCTTTAATCACACAATGGTTGACATTAGGACATCTGGCAATCATCTACCCCTACTCCACATAAGCAGGGTCACMAAAATCATACAGTACAGAATGCATCCAGCCAAGTTAGGTATCTCCAGAAATGGAGACTCCACAAACTCTCTAGGCAACTTGTTCTAGAGCTCTGCACCCATCAACAGTCAAGATTTTTTTACCTYATACTTACGTGGAACTGCTTGTGCTTCAGTTTATGCCCATTGCCTCTCTCTAGTAGCACCATGTCTCTCTTGTCCTGGGCAGCCCTGAGCTGGACACAGCAATCCAGATGTTGCCTCGCCAGGGCTGAGTGGAGGGGGACGATCACCTCCCTCGACCTGCTGGCCACACTCTTCCTAACGCGCCCAAGGAGATCATTGGCCTTCCTGGCCACGAGGGCACCCTGCTGCCTCATGGTCAGCTGGTGTCCACAGAGTTCCTCTCCAGCAGCTGTGCTCTCCAGTTCCTCTCCCAGTTGCTCTCCCTCAGCTGTGCTGGTACCTGGCGTTTTTCCGCTCCTGGTGCAGGACCCTGCATTTCCCTTTGCTCATCTTCATGAGGTTCCTCACTGTCCATCTCTCCAGCCTGGCAAGGTCCCTCTGAAGGGCAGCACAACCTTTTGGTACCAACTTTCTATCCTCAGCAAGCTTGCGCTGGGTGCACTCCGCAGTTCTGTGCAATGTTGTGTTTCTGTTGTAAAATCTGTGACTTTCTAATTGCTTAATTTTGTGGAGAGGGTTTGGGAAATCATTTAGTTTTGGTAAACAAAATATAAAAAACATTCTGTAAAAAAACAAATACTGTAACCACACTCTTAATTCTTACTACACATTCAGAAAGTTTACTACTCTAGAGGTTATGAGAGTTATACTTACCACTTGATTTATTTTAGGTTCTGTGGTCTTTGGAATTGGGTCACTGGATCTCAGAGGAACCTTATGAGCTATCATCCAACTTTCCTGCTGCTCCTGTAAGTTAAATTGTCTTTTATTTCCTTTTTATTTCTCTAGAAAATGATTGACCCTGTAAATAGATGGTGAATAAGAAAGCTTACTAGAAAAAAAATGCCCTTTAATTTACCCATGGCATGTTTTATTCCCCTCTGTATTTGTGTATAAGGTAGAGAGGCATATTATCACATAATAGGAAGATATAGCAGGTTGTGGACTCARTATTTTCATTCCAGTTATTGCTTATGCTATTTCTCCCTTAAATGGCTTGGTGAATGTAAAATCACTGGGAGTTTCTAAGACTGAGTAAAATGGAGCATTTCTTCCACGCTGACTGCTCATTCTCAAGTAGTGAACGAGCACAGAAGTGGGTCTGTGGGGAATGGTTGCTGGCTTTYCAAGTGGGAGGAGGGAAGTTGTTTCTGTTAAATACAGATCTAGGATATATCCAGGTGTTGTGATTAAACAGAAATTTTCTTTTTGACTTTGAACAACTAGAATTTTACCAGATTGTTGGTCAACAGCTCTGATAATTTTATCAGGAAGACTTAACAGTTTTTCTTGCACTGTAGCAGCTGTGTAAATGTATTTTTATCTGCTTTTCGTTTCTCAAAGTTTCACAGATGCTTTTAAGAAAGAACAGSTAAGGGTGGGTTGAAGTTCTCTTTTGCTTTAGTTTTATTAACTTAAAAGAACTTGTTATTTATACATGTTCAGGGTGAGGACTTTATTCACTGATTATAATCTGTAAACACAGGAAAATTGTACAAGTTATTCTGAAATGAGCTCAAAGAAATTAATGATCTACTATAATGTATTTCTTTCTAAAATGGGGAGTAGATCTTTTTTTGCATACTTAAAGAATACTTGAAGAATGATGAAGCTTAATGTGCACAGCAAACAAGGAGCAGAAAAGSGGGGGGGAACACAGTACTTCAGATTCAAACAAGAATCAGAAAGCAGAAGTAGTTTAATTTTCTGTTTCTTCTGAAACTGCCTTGTCCAATACCACAGAACGTTATCAGTGACTGCTTTGTTTTACATGGCATTCTTTGGAAGTGAGGCCTGCTGGTGGTTTYTTAGATTCTCTTTATAATGTTTATTCTTACAGGTGAAGAAGGGGGGGTGAGGACTTGAGAGGGGTGAGAAGGGAGAACTGAGGCAGGCTTTGGTTGTGTTGAGAAGGTGCAGCACTTCTGCTTGCAGTCTGCTTTCTGTGCAGAGGGACTGTGTCCGTGTCCAAGGGATTATTCCCTTTCTAGCCATTCCTCCTTGAGTTACTCTCTTTTTACTCTAACAGATCTTATTTTAAAAGTTATTATTTGAGCATGAATGGATRTAAAATATTTCTGTTGTATTTTCTGTAGTAAATGCAGGAAAAAGAAAACAGGAAATAAGTGATCTAGTCTAAGATTTATATTAAGTGTTATAACATTTAATACAGAATAATTTAGATCGGAAGGCACCTCAGCAGGTTGTCTAGTTCAACCTCCTGCTCAGAGCAAGGATAATTAAATCAAGTTGTTCAGAGATTTGGGGACAATGTTATTAAACGGTCATCTTAAATATATCGAGATTATACAATTCTTCGGAGGATGACTTTTAATTTACATTCACAAAGTTTATTTAAACTCATACCACGAAGTAATGTTAGAAGTACTTTTTTTTTCTGCTACCTTTTGACCTTGCTGACATCATACTTCAGCAAGTAATAATGGTGTTGCAAATGGTAGGGTACTCATTGACAGCAACTCTGGTGAGAGTACAAAATGAAGAGTGTTCTACCTTTTGTCAAAATAATGCAGTGCTTTTAAGATACAATACCTTTTGGTAAGTAAGCTACCTGCAGCTTTGTGTCCATGTTGTTTCTGTTTTCTTCTTTGGGTGAGATACCTTCTTGTCTTAAAACTAATTCAGTCATCTGTTGGAAACAGAATTTCCAAAATTATTGCTTCAAAGCTAAGATGACGCATGAAAATCAAAACCTGAATTTAATTTGGAGAGGAATTTCTACAAAATTATATTTTGTGTGGTTTATAAAGAGTATCTTCTATATCTGAATTGCAGTGTACAATGCTAATTTTTAAAATGTACAATAAAAAATGCAGCAATCACCCAGTGGTGTCATTTATTCATGTCGTATCATACATTGAGGGCCTACCTTCTTCACAGAGAATTTCAGGAAGTGCAAACCTCACCAGAAAAACAAAAACAAAACAAAAAACAAAACAACAACAAAAAAACACAAAAGACCTTAGGTTACTTTTTTTTTCTTTTTCACATGTAGCAATTTTTGTCTTAATTCATGAGCATAAATCAAATTGCATCAAAGAACATGCATAGATTTTTTTAGATAACTTCCTTTTACAAAAGGTATAAATCAACTAGAGCACCAGGTGATAATTGATTGTCATAGACAACTGGACATCTGGTGTTAATGCCATTGTCTCAATTTATATAATACTTATCAGTTATTTTACAGTTAAATGACAAGAAAATAAAAGTGCAATCTTTTGTAAAAAATATAAGGAAATATATACTATAATTTGTAGGGATTTTTATAGCTTAGAGACAGTGACTGTGATAAGTTCAGACTTTCAAAATGAAATAAATGGTATTTTTTTCTTTTTTTGCATAGTATTTCACAAGAATGAATGCAAAGTATTTAAATGCTATTTCTCCCTTCTTAAGTAATACAGGCTGTTGTAAAAAAAATCCCTGAATAAGTATAAGAAGTTTAGGGGACTACATCATAGTTAAAGAATACATTCTAATTACAGCACAGTATATTTTTTATGTACATAAACAGCAAACATGACAATGGAGAGATAAATAAATCTAGATCTAGTTAAGTGTTTTATATTAGAGTAATGTTTAAAGTTCAGTGAGGAAGCAAAAGGCATATTGCTAAAACTATTTTAGATATTTTTTCACAGTTCCAGTTATTTACTAACACATACATAAATGATCAACACAACAGTCCTTTAAGTTGTCTGACAGTTTCTTGGATGTTCCTTCTATTCAGTCTTTTGGCCAATTCTTTGTTCCATGAGGCTCATGCTTCAGACAGGAATAGGGCAAGCTCTGCAGTTCAGGAATGGGAATGAACTGATCCCTTCAGAACCGGCGCACGGTTTCTGGGCTTGAAAAGGAAACAAGTTGCAGATGTGTGCTGATGTGCTCGGCAAATGAAGTCCTTGAAGACTATACAATACATAATTCACGTTAAGAATGCAAAAGCATTTAGAAATCTGCTGGTCGAATCATCATAGTTGTGGCTTTGAGCGAGTATCCTGACCCCTTCCAGTAGTACCACTTGATACCGTTAAACTTGTTGTTGTTCTGTCGTAATGGATAATACATTCCATTGAGGTTAGAAGGGCCACATGCATCAAACCACCATCCTGCAACATCAAAAAATAATCTATCAGCAGATGAAAATATCAGCATAGGTAGTTTTCAAAACTGTGTCCCTACATGGACTGATACATACATACATGAAACATGTAAATTTAAGAGAAGTTAACACATTGTCCAAGAAAGAATTCTTGGAATTTTAGAAAGAATTCTAAAACCTCTTTTTCAAASTTATGATTTGTGAGAGTGTCAATATAAAATAGTTGCTCGATAAGAAGTTGTATTCATTTATTAACTGCATATTCTTGAAGCTTATGTAATACAAAGTTAGCCATGGAACTTCAAAGTTGACAGGGAAGTTGTTAGGGAAGGTTGATTCATTATCAATATCAAAGATTAATGTTGGCGATCTGAGATCAGATCTCAACCTGAACTTAAGGGATATTGGATCTTCTTTATCTGTCATCAGCTTTTTGTTTAAACATGTCCTTCACACATTTAAACTCTCAATTTTTTTAGATAATTCTGTTATCTGTTTCCATTCTGTATGCAAATCAATCAGATCCATGCGAAAGAAGGAAAATGAGAAAAAAGCAGGCTGTTTATATTATATCTTTGTGGTCCTGACCTGTTAGTGGGTCATAAAGAACATTTATTTTTATTAGTAAGATAATATTTTTATATTTCTATTATGATGGCGGTAATATGTGTCCTGTTTTATAGGGCAGTAATCCGATTATCCTTTTGAATTGGTTGGAACTGCCTTTTGTCTTTCCACTAATACGATTGCTTAATCACTGCTTACATGATAACAGTAAGAGGAATCATATTTATGGAGCAATGTTTATTACATCAGAATACGGAATTCTAGACTTCTTGAATTCTAGAAAGCGTCTGATCAAAGAGTAAGGAAAAGAACACCAAAAACTCCAGTAGCAAGTGAACAGTCTTTAGAAAAATGTTCATACTTCATATATTATGGTGTATGTTAGATGTACGTGTTACCCTTGAATACTTTTACTGAAATATGTAGTTAAATACTTAGACCCTTCTGTGACTTGCACAGTGTATGGCAGGCAAGGGCTTTTTGTGTCTTTGTTTGTTTTCTTCAAGAGCCAATATAAAGTTTTTGCCATTGAGTAGTTAGGGAAGGTTCTTGTGCCTAAAGAATCAGGAATCATTTCATTGACCCGCTTGGTGTCCTGGGCAATTCTCAGACTTTTCAGGAGATCTGCTATCTCATTCCTTTGAAGAACAACTGCTCTCGCTCRTGCTAGTTCCACAATTATAGACTTCTTAGAACCACAGTGGGAGAGACTGGATCYGCTCCCTGCCTCTCTGCCCACGCATACATGCAGTTGTAACTGACCTTGGTCAAACGGTAGAGCCTGTCCTTTGAGGTCAACACACTAATCCTTCTATCTGTGAGTTGTGGATTTCTTTAATAGGTAAAATTTACTAAGTCAAAATTACCACTGTTTCCCTCAGACAAGTTCAGTGCCAGCAAAAATAGGAAGACTGAGAAAACTAAAACCGTTCCTACCTCCTGTTAGCATTTGTGAACATTTGCAAATACATTTGTCGTTGTCTGCATCCTTTGTGCTAAAATCATTTCCTGGTTGGCTTATACTACTGATTTTGCCTGCTGTCCCAGTCAGTCCYTTAAGGTGGATCCTGTAGAATGGAAAAAACAAATATTAGCTGGAAGTCAGTGACAGCTGATCTACAAAATAATGATGAACTTTTTTTTTGCAATAAATATCCTGTTCAAATAATTGAGTTCTCTTCTGGTCAATGTATTGTTGTAAACTGTTTTGGAACGTAATGTTTTGATACAAGCAGAAATAGTCACTGCGCTATTATAATGAACAGAGAATTTAACATTTAATTAAATAGAGCTGATTGTTTTTGTTTTTTTTTATTCACCCAGTTCTATTGGAACAAACTTGAGAGCAGGTAGATAACTCAACATTTTTCATGTACACGAAGAATTTCTTAATGCTATAAATTGTGTGCAGATAACTTTCTTAATTGAGTTTTTCCTTCTTTTCAGTTCCTATTCTGCTRTTAACTCAATGTGACAATCTGTGATTGAAACTTTGAAACTACGATGGATAAGAGGATTGTAATTAGTATTTTAGGATTTTCTCCCTAATTGCTCTTCTTTTTCACATCTTTCATAGACATAAAGTATTAGATTCTGTCTCAGGTMTCTCACTTCCCCCGGGACGTTACCTCTCTGCGAGGCTGCTGCAGGTCGGATCCAGCTGCCCCTGCAGCCTCCGTGGGGAGAGATGCGGGGCCCTGGCCGGGAGGTGGTCACAGAGCTGGGGCTGCTGCCGTGGGGCAGAGCGCAGAGCCCCGGCGGCCCCCTGGGGGGCTTGAACCTGCTGGGCCCACAGCAGCTCTTGGCCAGTTGCTTTTCTGTGTCAAGCAGCTTATGTGCCCCAGAGCTTTTCGGTTGGTTTAAGGACTTTCTGAGAAGTAACTTGCCCCTGAATCTGCCTTCATCTCACATGTAATTCTCTGCTTACTATAAAAGTAAGGAGGGGATCTTTACTGTAGGATAGGTATCATTATAGTGTTCTGTGTATAGCTTTACATAGAGCACCTTAACCAGTGTTTTACCATGAGTATCTTTGGTAGTTTAACAGATTACTTTAAACCTTTTAATATATCCCCTGCATGAAAATAATGAACTCATTAATTTATCTTTCAAAATACTAGATCACTTCAGATTTTTTTCAAAAAAATCTTTCAAAGATTTATATATATATTTTTTCCAGAATATACCTACTAGAATTCTTGTTAATTTAAAAAACCAAAAAAACCCACAAAAAAAAAAGCTCTTAGGAAATGATTGAAGCTGAGAATAAATTTTTAAAAAATGGAAACAAAGGAAATTTTAACAGTTGCATTGGACTATTCCTAAATAAAGATGCCAATGTAGTTAATGATGCTGCAGAAAAGGCAGAAGCACTTCTCCCTATGCCTCGAAAAGGAAGGTGATAATCTATTGCTACAAAGTGAATTTTTTCCCATGTGACAACTTAAGCAGTTATTAAATATCATCTGTGTGGCATCAGGAATCCCAAAAGAAGGAGCATCAGTGGGATAGAAATCTCCTTGGCCAGGTTTACCAAACTGGGCAAAATGGAAGAAATTCCAGAAACACTCTTAATATTTTAACATGAAGATATTCAACAGGAATGAACAGGATTACACACACTATTCCAGAGTATCGCGGAAAACCTTTGAAAGTGTTCCTTTCAAATAAATCTCCTATCATTCTGATATCATTCTGTACCTCTATTTTGAAAAATTTAAATTCTAATTAGCAAGGTCTAGGCCCTATGAAAATTATACAAAGCTTTCCTCCGTATACAGCCTTATTTAAAAGAGTTAACAAGTGAAAAATTTTGGATAGAAAGCAGGTAACATGGGTATGCAGAAATTTAAGATACTTGTCATGATTAAGACACGTCACGATTAATACTAAGTCAGTATGTGTGAGAAGCAGAATCTAAGTTATTTCATGATATCCACATGATTTTCACTGTGTACCAACTTGAACTAGCATGAAATTGTGGTGGTTCATGGCAGGAGGATGAGAGGCAATAGGTGTAAATTGAAACAAGAGCTTCGGACTGGAGATCAGAAAAAACATTTTCACCGTGAAGACAGATGATATCCTCCAAGGATGGAGCTGCACAAGGCCTGGCTTCCCTAAGCAACCCTGTCTGATCTCTTAGCTGACCCTGCTCTGAGCAGGAACTTGGACTCAAGTGACACCAATTCCAACGTGGGTTTTTTTTTTTTTCCCCTCTATATTTTTAGGAAATTTTGCTTTTCTGACCCAACTCATGCTCTTTTCAGCATTCAAATTTTTTTCGTTGTTGTTTTTTATTATAATGAAAGTGGCTCTTTATTGAATACTTGAATGAAGAGTTYATCTTTCAAAAGGAGAAGAATGTACTAGTTTTGTCCATGGCTGGTACAAAATGTTATTTATACTTCGTTAAAGTTTTATTTTAATAGAATGTAGTTCTTAAAATTCAGTTCTTGACCTTCTTAACAATGAATTGCTGCTAGYGATCAAAGCTCCATGAATTTATATGATTCACATAATGAAATATTCCCAGACCACATGGTAGGGAGGCTTCTCTCTAGTTTCTGAGATAACCAGTCATACTGTATCATCTACTGCATTTACGGAGAGTCTGGAGTAATACAAGGAAGTATGAACTGCGGATACATTTCAGTAGACGCTGATACTGTAAAAAACAGATAAGCTCTTTCATTCCTTTTTAACCAAACATTAGAAAAATATTAAGTTCTGTGCCAGTATTTTCTAGAATGATGACAGCGTAAGCGATATGGCTGTTAAAATCAGGTGTTAAAGATGACAGGTTTGTAGAAGGGTGGAGCTGGAGCTTTGCTTTTAGCTTCTTTTTCACAGATGGGAACATTATTACCTCCAAATTACCTCTGCACTCAGTGTACTGCTTCTGTAATGTGAAAATCATGCAGGATTGTCTGCCTTGGTTATCCACTTTCCAGGAACACATTTATTTCCCAGAATCATGATTCAATAGTCTTTCTTTTTTTAAAAAAATGTAATTTGCAATATTAACTGAGCAAGTTATTCCTTGTTTTTATTTTGTTTTTATGCAAATAAAAATGGTGGAAATTAACTTTACAAAGTATAATTGTCGTAGCATTAGCTAAAGTTGGGAATTGTTACAATTTGACCTTAGTAAAGAAAGATCTGTGCTGATACTGAACTTTGCATATGTGAATGTATTACACATGATCATGGATGTTACTGCCCTCTATGTAAAGAGTATGCGTGTGTGGATCTACCTTCACAGAGGGGAACATGAACATGGGTCACTTTTCTGTTCACCTCCTTTTTCTGCAGCTCAGGCAAGTTTCTATCGCCCTCGAATTTGAACATTGCCAGCTGCTCTATTAGCTCCTCTTTGTCTTTGGAGCATSTTGTGTAGAATATTGCACTAGTGTGTGCACTAGTAAAATGTACATGCTGTCTTTAAAAACATATWTGTTTTTAAACTAAATAGGCARTAAGGGAAAATTGGAGTAAGCATTTTTTTCCTGAGTGAATTTTAAAATGTTTGTAATTGGTATAAAATTGGGAAATAAAAATAATGCAACTAAACAGTTTAAAATAATTAGCACCAGATGTTTTCATTTGGATTGTTTTTTTCTGCTTACCTGTACTTTAGTTCTTCACCAGACAGATAGAAGTGGTCGTACAGTGAATAAGCCTCATTGCCTTCCCAGTCCTTCAGGTGTATTTTAAGAACATAACGTTTCTGATTAGTCAGTTGAGAAACAAACTCATTTCCCAGCCAGTACTCGCCAGCAGGATCACCAAATCCCTGTAATTCAAGTTGTATATTTAAATAGCTTTCATTTGTTTTTTCTTTTGACTTTGAAATGATCACTTTATCACTTTCTAAGTACCACAGGTTTCAGTCTGTCAACTAATAATTTTCCTGTGTAATAGCAGGTCACTTCACTATATAGATACAGTGAAACATCTATAGTTTTTCAAAGAGTTTATTTCAACAAACATGAATTCAGAAATCTGAAATAAAGTGAATCAGTGATAGTMTTGGTAGGTTTGAAGCAAGTGGCCAGTAGAAACACAAATATAAGTAACTTAAAACTGTGGACCCAGTTAAATAACTAGGAGCTGTGGATCATGCAATAGTTGATTAAAAGGCAGAAGAAAATCCTGAGGTTTCTAAATGAATATGAAAGAAAAAAGACTCCTTAGGGGACCTGATTACAGTCCAAGGGCATGATTATACTATTACTTTATTGTGTCAGATTTCAGAGAGTTAATACTAAGGCTTCAGAGGACGTAGGTCTTACCATCTTGTACTCTTTCCACGTGCGGTGGAAGTCCACGCTGCCATCCTCTCGTTTCTGAATGACCGTCCAGCCGCCCCCRCCAGTTTCCATGTCACAGTAGGCCTGCCGGAACAAACGCCAAACAGCATGAAGTGCAGGCTGCCATTTCCAAACAGAGACACCGAGCGTGTACCATGCAGGGGCAACCGTCAGCCCGTGCAAGAGCAGAACATGTGGATTAACCGAAAGATGCCGTTTTTCAGAGCTTTCACACAAGTGAGGGTTCAGTGTCAACAGTATCTCAAAGATAGCTGATAGACAGTGTTCAAGGGACATTAAGCTAAAATTTAAGTGTTTTTGAATGAAAATAACGTCTGCATGGACTCTGTACTATCCCATAGAAACCTGTAGTCAACTCCTAGAACTCCCTTTATTTAAAAACAAAATGAAACAAAACAAGAACATCTCCTGGGTAATCCTTCTTTTTACCAAACTTGTAGTGCTGTCTGTCAGAATGCGCCAGGATAAATGCCCCAAACCCAGGTTGAATCACACTGAGGCTGTTTCTTCCCCCCTCTCTGTGGGTCAGGGCCCAGTCCGGCCTAGCAGGTTCCTTGGGCTCTCTGGACTGGGCCCCGCTGACCCTGCTGGGAACTCGAGGATATTTCTGTGCTGCGGCCCTGCGTGAGCACCACCACAGGAAGGAGARCATTTGCAATGGAGCTGTGTATGTACTGTCTCTGTTTCATACATATATATTTATATAAATCAAACCACTGCTCTATCGTGTGAGCCAGGACACACGTACTCTTCAAAGGCATCGGACTTTTAAAGGGAATGAAAGCCCTTGGAGCTGCTTAAAATGAATCTTAGCTAGTGTATCAATAGGCCGTAATACATTGGAAATGCAAAGCACATGTTGTGTTGTGTCTAGCCTGTATCCTTGGCAGCAGAAAATCATTAAACATGTCTAGATGGAGATTTTTTGGCAAGATAAAAGAAAGAAGAAAACAAGCTGGTTTACTGATTAAAGTATTCCATGTAAATGAATTTAATAGAAAGCAGCAACTTTAATTTTTAGTGCTGCCTGCAGTTTTTGCACCTCAAAACCCATTTTGGGGAAGTTTTGTTAACCTCTCTACTTAATATGACTGGTGAGGATTTGGCCTCGGTTTATGTGTGTTTGTTTATACATATATGTACGTATGCAAAAGCTAAAAACAAAAGCTTGCCTTGAAAAGGAAAGATAAGTGTTCTAAAGAAAAGATATTCAAAAGGATGATCCGTTTGTTTGAAAAAGTTAGCCCATGCAACGTGAAATGCTTATGCAAAATGTAATTGCCACAAGAGGCTATGAAGAGGGATAGAAGAGTGAACTAAAGCATATGCTGATAATTTTATTAAGCATCTCTGCAGTTTAAAATACGTAACAGATAGCAAATAAAAATGGCTATTGGTGTTAAGTTGTTTTCACTCACAATCTACTGATTTTTTTTCACAATAAGTCAAATGCAGAATATAATTTCTGCCTTTCTCCTAAACTTGTTTTAGTTACTTAGAGGCAGAATATTAATTTAGATGGACGACTCCTGCATTCTGATGTTGCTATTTCAAACATTAATTGATATTTTAAAAGCTAGATACAATTTCCATGAGATCTAGCCTATTCCTATTTTATTTCAGTTGGAATTATTACTTTGAAGTTATAAATACCYTGAAATAGCACTGTACTTAATTCTAATCAGATTAAAATATTCTCAAACACTGTGATCTTTCATTACAAAAAAAATAACATCAAAAAGCTTGCCTGAACTTCTGCTAATGTCTTGTATAAAATGCACCCATTTGGCATGTGACTGGTTAGATGACTTGCTTTTATATATAGTATAGACCCTTTGGAAGAAGGGTTTGGTGTTGCAAATGTCTTCCCAAATGCAGAAGCAATTTAGTAGCAACTGAAATCCATAACAAGACATGTTAAAAGAAAAGACCAGGAAAAATATAATGTACTTTTTTTCTTTCCAGTATTGATTTGATTTGATTTTGTAAACTTCAGAGCGTATTTTTTTCAATGCTAAAAAAAAAAAAAATCAGTTATCTATAAGTGCTTCTTATAGATGCCATTTTTAAGGCCTTGCAAATGGAAATCCTTTTCTTTATTGGGCAGAAGGTGAGGCCCAGGCAATGGGAGCGTGCTGGTTTACATCACCTCTCTTCTACTGTCATAACATCTGTTTTAAAGCATGTCAAAATAGTTGTTTAAGATTTTGGTGTGTGGTTTCTAACTGCACATCCTTCACAGTTGCACGATAGCCCCCTTGAGCTAGATAAAAAGGAAAAAATAGTTTTACCAGCTTTAGGTAACCTTCTTAGAGTGAAATGTTTTGCTTTCAGGCTTGACTGGCAATCCTGAGCTGTGCCTTGCCTGGCCTCATATATTCAGCTTTACTCATGAAATCATTCTTTTGTTTTCCAAATCGTTTCCCTAAAATTTAAATTTATCAACTCTCTGGACAGTCAAGATTAAATTCTTAATCTGCTTGAGGTCATAACTATTATAGAACTCAGAATTTCAAATTTGCATATATGCTTTATTTTTTATTTGAGAAGTAATAAAATTGAATAATGACAATAAAGACTAAAGAAATTTAGTAAGATAAACTGATTAGTTGTTATTACTTTTTCCTAAAATTACCTAAGTGAATGTTGTATATTCATAGGTATTTTAAGTCTGAAGATAGGCTGCTTGGTGGAATGAAGATCAGGGAAAAGATTTGCTTAGTTTAAAACAATCACAGTGAATTTGCTGTGTCAATTTGCAGATGGAAAACTTTCGTAATGAAGTATACCATAGATGAGGGAGGAGAAAGTATTTACTTAGACTGTAACTTATTTAAAAAAAAAAAATCTTCAGGAAAGTGATAGGCATTTGAGGTTTTCTCTAACACATTCCTGGAACAGAACTCTACTGATCTTTGAGCCCAGCCTAGGTTTTGTATTCAAAAGGAAGAAAAGTAACATTTCATCGAAGTAGTAAGAACAGATACTAAGATTAGATAGGCAGCAGGAGTCTTCAAACAGATGCCAAAAGGAATAAAGAGATTAGCTTCTCAAATCACAGCGAATTGGCAGGGGGTCTATGGGGTTTATCTATCTCGTGAGCTCCTCCACTGCCTGCAGGTCGAGCTGCCGCGGCGCGGGGGAACCTAAGGTCAGTTGTTTATATTTTTCACCTTCATCTAAGGATCAGTGCTGTTTTTTTTTGTTTTTTTTTTGTAAATGCAGTTCTTGGGATGCTGATGCACTGCTTTTCCTATACTAAAACAGTAAGTAGTGTTGCCACGTTAGCTTGTCTCTGTTTACATCACTTATGGCTGTGGTCTGAATGCTCAGAACTAGCTTTTCAGTTCTGATGCTCAGAGATTTTATGTATTTCTTTCTCTGGCTCCCAGAGTTGTGACTGGTGAGGATCTCAGCTATAGTTCTATTGTGCTGGAAAGAAGTGTTTACATACACGGTTTAAAAGTAATTAACCTAATACCAATTACCCCTTAAAAGGCCAAATGATGAGACTGTTAAAAATACACAAAAAGCCTCTTCATCTCCTTCTTGCATAGCAGAAGCAATACAAATGTCTATCTTTTACACTTGGAGTTGGCAACACTTTATCTAACCACTGTGGCATGGACTCCTCCTGAAACAACTAGCTARCTCTTTGCTTCACTGCTTTTCAGAAGAGTTTTACAAAACTATGGCTGTTACAAAATTCAAACTTGCCCAAAGTTTCTGCAAGAAAATGTAAAAAAAAAAAATCCYAAAATAACACAAAGAGCTCTGCTTTTTTTTTCTGCATTTCTACTCAGATCAGGGAGGGAGGTAAGGAAATGCTCAGCTAGTAGCTCAAGATCTGGGATAACACACTTGTAAGAGTTGTGGGTAATGGCTGAGCTGATAGATGGCCACAATGTGGCATTCAGCACCATCCATGCAAGCCTGTTTTGTCTGGTCAGAACCAAGAAGCGAGCTGGTTCACGTAGCTGCTGCAGACATGAAGTTAGAGGCTTTCCATGGCTTTGCTGTTTTTTCTTGTGTCAGCAGTCTTGCTGTTTTTCCTCCGTGTTTTTAAAAGGTCTTAGCTTTTGTCCTGGTGCAGAACAGGAAAGCTTGAAAATATTAATGGAATGAAATAATTGTTTTCCTCTAGCAGGCGCTGCTCTGGTGGTGCCTTATGATGGAAGACAAATTAGTGAAGTCAGATCAGTTACGCAGATTGCACAGAAGTTGTTTATCAGCCTGCTGGGAGGTCAGAAGGTGTTACAAGAGGAAAAGATGAAAACATAAACAGCAGCGCAGCACTTTTGGCAAATAAAAAAGGTCATTCTGTTTCCTGGTCCGCGTAGCCATGCACATCATAAACAGTTGGTAATGGTGCAATGTGTTGATTATCCCTAAACCCTCGCTGCCCTTGACAACTCCTCTCAGGCGTTTGGGCTTGTATAAAAAAACTGCATCGGATTACAACTTTTCAGTCTTTTTTTTCCCCACCTCATATAGTGTGTAAAACTTTCACTAGCTCTTCTCCTTCTTTTGTTTCCATTCTGTCTGCAGTGAGCACAACAAAATTGATATTGTTCAACAGAATCAAACGACTATTGTTTTAACACAGCAAATTGCTGTCAAAAAGTTCTCTTCTTCTGCTAAGTGTTTTAGACCTCTGTGTTCAAAGCATTTAATGTTTTACAGTCTAATACATTTGCAATTGTATATTTCTCTTAGGGATAGGTTATTTTAGTAAATACTTTAAACAATCACTTGGGTAGTACAGCAGATTACTGAAATTTTTGTAGAAATGTAAATTGCCAGAGGTTCTCAGCAAAAGTACAAATTTTCTTTATAGTTTTGAAAATGCACAGTTAAAATTTGACAGTCAGAAATTGCCATGTTGTAAGACAGCATGCACTTGAGTCTGCTTTTAGAAACTGCTTATGCCTTACACTGTATTACACTTAYACTTATTCCTGAATGCACTTTGCTTGTAACTAGCTCTGCTGTGCAACAGATGTATTCCATACAGACTGCATTATTTCAGAGAAAAGCCTTTTTATTTTTCAAAAGAAGCAGCCTGCAGGTGTTCTTAGCTATGTTATCTACAAAACCTGCAATTTTCGTATGTTATATTTTCTAGACTTAAATTGCTTATGTCCTTTGGTTGGGATCTCTTTAAGGATAAATATCAATGTCAGGCCTGAGCTACGTGGAAAAGTCTTTAAGCAATTTATTCATTTACTTTGTTTCTAAATCTTTCCTGTCAAAACACAGGGAAAAAATGCTTTCTCTATCAAAGCTTCACCAATTGCTTTTCCAAATGTCCTCTCATTTTTCTTTATTTTTGTCCATTCTCTTTTCTGCCTTTTTTTTTTTGGCTTGCTTGTATAATAAAATAGGGCTTTAGGAATTCAATAAATACTCTTTTGTAAGGACATRTCAACAGTATTAAATTCTAAAATAAAAAAGTACAAAATCATCCCCTACTATATTTCTTAGACAAATACTAAGCATTTTTTGCATATATTCAAGTGTCCCTTGACCCTGCTCAGCCTGTTCTATCTGAAAAGTTGGAAACAAAAATCTTCCATTTGAGCGCTGCTCTTCAGAATCTTCCCTGCCGTTTTCGGTTCTTTTCTTGCTCATCCAGGACTTTTTCYGCCTTTCAAAGTTGTTTCTCTTGAGCTATATTACCTGAAGCTTTATCATTCTTTTTACTACAGTAGGTGGAGTGGCTTTATTGGGCATTCGTTGTTGTTTATACAATGAGTGCCCTCTTTAGCTCAGGTCCTCTGCAGGGAAATATTATATTGATTTAACTTAAATTGACTCTGAAGATCATTTCAGTTAAACATGTGGAAAAAGAAAAGCATTCATTTAAACTGATTCAGTGAAACCACAACCCAAGTCTCACCTTTTATGTAAATCAGAGCAATATTTTGCAGGAGGAGCATCTCCRTGTATGTCCCAGGGCCAGTCGCACTAATCTAATTGCTGATTTGTTATGCAAATGCCCCAAAATCTCTGCAAGAYGTAACAAATTGGAACTAGTRCATGGTGAATCCACCAGTACTCGTRTGAGCCCCCTTTCATGAAGAAAGTCTTTTTTGTTTTGTTTTAAACCATCATTTGCCACCCAGAGGATCTTGAGCTTTTGAAGACACTAAGAACTCTGAGAAAACACAAGATTCCTGGCACTAGGGGTACCCGAAACGCTAGCTCTGCCTTCCCTGGGTTCGATGGAAGTGGATTCAGTTTGAAATCTGAAGGAAAACTGTGTTATTTTTTAAAAACCTAATGATAAGCTAGCTGTCACGGGGCAGGAGTGTCTGCAGAGGAGAGGCCTCCTGTACTCGAGAGCTCTCATGCACTGGGGGTGTCACGGTGCCCCGGGCCTCAGCGCACACACAGTGACCGTACTGCAGGTTGAGATGTGATAAAGGGGATGGAACTGATATGCTCCTTTAACTGCATGCTGATCATATGGAAATAAAGACTGCAGTCCTGGTATGCTGAAGTGAGCAGTGAAATGCCCGGCCTGGATTTCATTGGACTTTTTTTTCTCCTTGTGGGGATTGAGATCTGTAAGTAAGTGAAGAACTACCCATAAAACCATATTGTGTAAATACTGGGTAAAAGTTCACTCCTAACAAGGCTTTTAAATAGCATATTTACTAAATAATTATTAACTCAAATACACAAGTAGCATTTTATAGGCATCCTACCTTCTTTTCTTCTGCACTGTTAGGGATGGTTAAGCTGTAAATTCCACTTGTTGTTAGGCCGGATTTAAATGCTTCAGCACAGTCTTTGAAACTAATTTGTTCCTCTTTAGCTATGAAGTTGTTTTTAGCAGCTAAAAATAAAAAGAATAAAAAAAAAAGAATAAAAGTTACAAGGCAGTAATTAACGACATAGTAAAAAATATGTCTGGTCATGGAAGAAATGACAGATTGAGGATTTAATTACGTGTTATTYTTTGAACAAGTTGTTCTGGCACAAGCATGACTGCTTGATGGGTTCAAAAGAGATGATACGCATTAAAAGGTTCAATAAGAAATCTCAGGATACGATATCTCATTCCATTAAGCAGGTTCTGCTTCCGTTGCCTTCTCTGCCTGCCTTACAAACTCAGGATTAACTACTCTTACAAACACACCTGTAGAGAAACTGTTTATCTTAATAATGATCTTTGGCCAGAAATCTGTAAGGTGGTGAAATGTAATAAAAAAGTGGTGAAATCTTTTACAAGATAACTGACTGGAGTAATTGCTCTCAAGAAGTTTTAGGTTTTCTGTGGTAGTCCAGCACACTCCCATAAGGAATCTTCCTTTCTTCAGTTAATTTATGGAGAACTTATATTTTAATATCCCTAAGCCACCTTGTTTTACAGAAGAGTCTAAGGTTCATCTTTTTGTTGAGTCTTTACGAGCTGTGGAGGTTGGAATTTCCTGGCATTTGGCCTGCTGACTGATATTTTATACTCACCCTTTGGTGCTTGGTTCTGTGTATTTTCCCTTTATTAATTTCATCTACGAACACAGCCAATCACTACAAGGTTTTAGGTGCTTTATAAATGTAAGCTTATATTATTGTTGCTCTCACGTTCTCTTCAGGTTGCTTATTCATTATTTACCTGTTTACATTCTTTGCCTCAAATATAAAAATAACACGTTCAGTGTTAATTGATTTTCCACACTCTATTGTTTGTATACCGTCCTAAAAGCCCTCCCTGCTAATTTTGTCTTTTTGGCAAACATTCATTATTTTTTCCACTCTGGGCTTAATAGTGTTGTAGCGAACATGACTTTGACTTGTTTACTTATTTGTGCACTAGCTTAACAGATAACATCAGCAGGAACATGTACAGCCTTCGCAATGGCATTCAAGGGAAGAGTGCCAGATAATAAGTATTTCACTTTGTTTAAAAAGACCTAGAAAAACATATTAGTTAGGGCACTATAGACGCTGCTCGYCGAGCACTTTTCCATATTGTGATCCAACTGTGTCGTAGATTGCGCTCCATAATTTCCAAGTGGAGCCAAGTACAAAATAGCTATAGGAATGGAGAAAGAAGAAACTATATTTCAACAATATATTTGCTTGATCAAAGTAATAGTTTAGGGACATGTTAAGTAAATTTTTCATGGAATTAATAATGTAAATATCTGTTTTAGTATAAAAGAAAAAGCAGCATTCCAAATGTAATTTATAATTCAGTGGCCACTGTGTTCTGGGCTGCACATTCTAAGAGCAGAAAACCAATTATTTATTGAAATCTAACATAAAAGCAGGTTTTGGTGCTGTTGCTAAAGTGTGAAACTGAGTCCACCGATGCCCTTTGCAGTTGCAATGAAAACTATTTTAAATTCTTCCTAGAATTTCATTTTAATACTGTTTGTAAGATGTCCTATATGCTCCGTGTCTTCGCTCAATCTTGTAGATTTTCAACGTCAATCTTGTAGATTTTTTACTCTTTTACAGAAACTGTCAGTAACTTCTTAATTTGTCAAAGTTCCTAATGAGACATTAGCTCACTTGTTTAATTCATGTGCAGCCATGACCTTCATTTTATGGTTTGTGTGCTCTTTCATGTAGCATATGAATCCTTATAAATATGGAAGAAGCTGCTGTTGGTGGCTACGACGGGCTGCAGGGCTGTCAGGCACGTTGGGATGATGAGTGCATAAAACTGGCCAAGATGAGTGATTTTGGGGATGAATAGGAAGCTTCAATGAAAGACTGGGGGACTTGAGGGAATGCCTGCTCTTTTCTGTGGCCTGCAGCTAAGATCTGAGCGGGCAGCAGCTCCTTTGGTGCTAATGACCAGTGGTAGCTGTCTGGCTGTGATCCACTCTGGGTAGGTGCAGCAAGGCAGCAAGGAAGAGGCCGGATCCTGCACAGGCTCCTGCAGCAGTAAGTGTGAGGAAGGCAACTAGAGGCTTTCATCATGCAGCCTCACCCGCATGTGTGGCAGTGTGTTACTGAACAGCATCAATGCTAAGTAAGATAAAGTATATTTCGCATCTCTGTAGTTTGTTGGACTACTGCAGAACTGGGTAGGTGAGCAACATAGAGCACAGAAGATGAGCAACACATTGAAAACCAATCCTGTAGGATTTCCTTTCCCAGTAGTCCCCAAGAATGTCCTTTAACTCTGTCATAAAAACATACTTAGGTTATAGGTAAAGAGAGCATGCAAGCTAATGTAACTCCAGTGATGTCAGCGTTTCTGCTTTTACTTACAGTTTGGTGTAGATATCATAGTAAGCAAGTTATGAACAGTCTCCATCAAATCATGTTGCTGTTTTTGCAGAGCTGAGTTGTTCACTGTAGCTGTAACCAACTGTTTTTCTAGTTCTTCTATAATAGAATTTTGTCTGGATACTAATACTTGAAGCTGATCTTTTTCATCTTTTATTGACCTTAGCTGAAGTGTGTGCTTGTCTTCCATCTCAAGAACTCTTTTTTCTAGAAAGCTGAAAGAAAGATTGCAGTTAGGGTCTCAAGAAACAATTTTGAGCAGATATAAAGAATATTAAGCCTGGAACAGAAGTTACTTCCTTCTTTATAAGGACACACTTCTAGTCTTTGATGCTATATGTGCAGTAGAAAACTAAAGRAAAGCTGGTTTGGTGCTTACATCTTTATTATATAAAAAAATACACAAATAATCAACATTATTATAGTCTATATTGTACATTTTATAAAGTGCAAGAGTTGGGTGTTTGTTAGTTAATTTAGTGTAATGGAAGCTACAATTCATCTTTGTAGTCCTGGGAAAAGGACAGTGGCACTGGAAGATAATCGGTATAAAATGGATTTAGACCATGACTTATGACTATGAATCATCTTGAAAACCTTTTTCCCAGAGGTTTGACGTAACAGAAAAGTAATTCATGTTTTGTCCTGTTAAAAGATGAAACTCATTTAAAGGTGAACCTAATAACTTTTTAGTTGTCCTGTGTTACAATATGTCCTTAACCAAAAKAAATGGTAGATTTTAGTACAAAGAGTTAGTCCATGATATGTAACCCACCCTGCGTTCTGGAGCTGCCCCAAGGAAGTGGCTGCTTGGAAGATGATTTAATTGCTAATGGCTTTGAACTCCAAGAAAGCTAATGTTAAAAAATGCACAATATCAGAAGGGAGAAGCTGGCCTGGAATTGTTGATTGTATTATTAAAAAAAAATTCCTGAACCTTATGTTTCAAGAAGATGAACTCAATGACAGATGATCTTTTTTTAGGTAAGAGATAATGCTTCTGTGTTTACATGGGTTTTTATAGGGGTAGTTTAATGTCTGCTGAGTTCAACCCCAAAACAGTGATGTTCTTAAATTCAGTATTTACTTTGCTTTCCATTGGATAAGGATGCTTGTTTTATTAAACTGCTAGAGAAAATCTTTAGGGAGCATATATAAATACWGTAGAGTAGTGAACACAAATGTCAAAACATGGCTCAAGTTTTTTTTAAGCTAATGTTTTTTAAAATAAAAAGCACTTTGCACATATGGTACTCATTGAAAAACATGGCTTTGAAGGAGAAAACACACAGTTATTGCTGCTTTGAGATTTCTCTGTAAACTGTTTATTGCCAAAAGTAAAATAAGACCCCAGTGATACGAAGCTGAAACTAGCTGGGGAAAAAAAAAAGAAAAAAAAAGACAATGTACTTTTGGATAGCAGCAATGGTGAGGAGTAAAGCTGGGTTATCAGTGTGAATTTAAAAAGCTAGAATGGCTAGGAACCGAAACACAGTAGTCTGACCTTTATCATAAGGATAAAAATAATGCAGTAATGATATGATTCTGTATTAGTATAGCTGTGTATTAAATGAAAGTAGAATYTTAGCTGGAGATGTGTTTACACGGGCTGGGTTTGAATCATGCTGCATAATTGATAATTTCATCTAGATAAGTCTAAAGAAGAAGATAAAGTGGGTACAACTGAAGGATTGAAAARTATTTCAGGTTTTAACCTGATTTTCTCCATATAAAATAGGAGTTTAGATAGTGAATATGTAACCAGATGTGTCGAGTTATGTCTGCCCTAGCAAAAGCCATAGCAACAATAAATAAATGTTGCAGCTGTATCACACTGAAAGTTTGTGAGATTTAGGGTTTTGATCATCTGAATTGGGRTTTGTTGACTCACTGAAGCACTTTAACAAGTCCTTCTCCTTGTCCTTTTGCATTTCTGAATAATAAGCTGAATAAACCTGCAGCCTCTCCCTGAATGAAGTCCGTTACTCTTATGTGACCACCCCTGAATCAGGTGAACACATGTATGTGTTGTGTTCATAGCAATAGCAACAGTCCTGACACAAAGGTTTTCTTATTTTCACTCAACTGTATTACTATTTCTGCAGTGTACTGACATACATTACATGCTCATATAGAAGTGACATATAGAAAGGAGAGGAAAATGGGCAGCACCGGGCACACTTTCAGCAGGTGCTTCTGTTAATAACCTGTGTTCAGGGTGGCTGTGGTTTGTGCTCATCACCTCTGTCTGCTCACCATGGTGTGTGGGGCTCCAGGGACTTGACATGCCTGAAAACCCACCTGTGAAAATCCACCYTAGGGAGGTCTCCTGTCCGATGGCACTGGAGCAAAGTCCAAGAAAGACAAGTGCTAGTCCTGAGCTATAGATCAGAATATAACCAAAATTTTTGTGTTCATAAGATCTTTGTGTAAAAGTGAAATTCTAATGGAAACAAGTGCATTTACTAAAGTCTGTCTATCTAACCTAACAGGAAACTAATGCTGATCTATAAAGGGGTAGTATAAAACAAAGAATTTATTTTAATGTTTATCACTGAGGAATCAGAATTCACAAACAAAATCAACATCCACACATCCTTGGATGCTCTGCTGCTATTGGAATTCCTGAAAACAAATAGTCTGAAAAAAGTTAGTAACAATTTCAGTTTATACAATTAGATTGCACTGAGGATAATATTTTAGTCACAAGCATCAACAGTGGTGTTTTTTATATTTTAGGTAAATGTRGGGGCTCTGACATTCTAGCTGCCAGTTCTTTCTGTATTTATAAAAATATTGGGCTCTTTCTTCACTGGGAAAAGATTTTTGAAATGGGTGCAGTTGGAGAAGCATTATTTTCCTGCTTCAATACTTTTGCATTTCCAAACCCCTAGAAGGGCAGTTATAGAGTAAGTGTTTTGCTGATTGGAAGGCAAGCTTACCTGTTTTTCTCTTGTAGTTTAGTTATCTCGTTTGTCTGGTCTGAAATCTGCCTTTCTAATTTGTTTGTTGAAAGAGAATGCTCCAAAAGCTGAAGTTCAAGTCTCGTCGTCTGGTTTAGTACCTAAATAAAAAACATTTTAAAAGTCTTTGAAAACCAAGAAATGCCTTTTTAACCAATTGCAATTTCATTATACTGTGAATTCATGCAAATCTCTGTCGCTAAATATCTAAATATATATCTCTAAAGCTCTTTGAAAAGTGCAATTTTATTGTTCTCTTTATATTTATTATTGGGAATATTTTAGTAATATGTTATATTTCTGATAAATGGTTTATCCTTTTTAATTTTGTTGTTGTACCTTCCCCTCTGTTTTGATATCCTTATTTCATTACTAGAACTGTTGTCTTTACAGAGAATAACTTAAATTGAGGTGTTTTCTCAGATTGGTTTAGGATAGTCAGTGTTGGTCGGCATGTCTGATCTCAGTCTACTTTGGATGTCTTTCATTAGTTGACGTTTTGGCCTAGCCCTCTGAAATCACTAAATATTTCCATTTTAATTATATTAGTGCCAGAATTTAACCCATTGTGCCCAGAAATAAATATTTTGCTTAACTATATTCTAAATTATATTCTAAAGGGTTTATCCTGTGACCACATTTTTGTCTGACCTACTCCCTTTCAGTTTTCTCTCTATACATATTTATCCCTATATTAAATTGATTTGCATCTTTACATGAAGAAACATTTGTATTAGGAAACATGAAAGAGACTTTGTGCTGTGTATTGTATTGCATTACTTTGAGGATTGTTTTCTAGAAATATTCCTCATTGTTTTAGACCAGCTTTTTTTTTATTTCATCCGAATTTGGCTTTCGTTGGCAGGAAGAATTGATTACTCACGTCCTTCATGTTAAACAGTCATTCAGGACGTGATTTCACACTTAAGTGTAATTGAAAATTATTGCCAAAAGTAAGTGTCCTTGAGAGAGCAGTTGTTTGGTTAATTTCCTTATGTTGTTAATTAAGCCCTTAACCCAGTCACCAGTGATTCCAAGCCGAGAAGGAAAGTTACGGTGATGATATTCTTCCTGGAAGCCAAAAATAATTGAGTAATTTCCATAAAGCCATTGCTGTGAATGAATAAATACATTCTCGCAGCTTGTTTAAAGCTGTTAATTCTGCAGGCCTCTAGTCTATGARCTGTCAGGGTGTCGAAGAGGGCACCATGGCTTTTTTAGGTTGGAAAACCTTACGATTCATTGGGTGAATTCTACAGATAGTAAAATATTTAACAAGGATTTCAATTTTTCTTTTTTTTTTCAGATTATGTAAAACTGAGTGCTATATCCTGTATTCAGGATTGCTCAAGAATTATGTATCTGCATTTTCCTTAGATTATGAGAAAACAAGTGCACAGCATTCTGCATTAATTGGCTTTGTACTTACTTATGCTAACAATTAGAATATATTTTAAAAATTCACTCTATTTCAGATATTTGTCTTATGCTTTTCAGTTAAAGCAATAATTAAATATTTAACTATTTTGCTTGAAATCATTCGGCAAACAGTGTGTTTGCCAGGCACGTTTACTTCAGCGTGAATTTACATTTCTAGTAGTCTCCTAATTCTTTTTTTTTTTTTCCTTGCTCGATTCATCAAGTGATACATCCCTCTTTTACGTAACAATAATACAGAGCACTGTGCTGGAGATGAGATGTTCCCTACTTTCAGCATGTCTGAAAATGTCACATAAAAAGAGATGGTTTCATTGATAAGAAATTAAAAAAAATGGGAAGAATAAAACTCTTTTGGCATGGTGAACTGAACAAAGTGTCTGAATGAATATTCAGCAGGAGAAGACAACAAATAAGGCTGTACAGAAGCAAGCCATTACCCAATTAATGTTTGGCTCTACACTAGTATTTTTAAGCACGTTATCAGTAGGGAAGCATGTAAGGGTTGTTTCCCTGGTGTCCTTAAGCCCTCCTGGCCRTCAGGGGAGATTGTCAGGGTGCTGGGGAGGAGGCTGCGGCCCGTGCCTGAGCCGGGGACCCCCTTGGCGCAGGGCGCTCCGTTTYACGGCCTGCCTCCCGGGCGCTGCGCGTCTCCAGCGCCGCTCGTGTAACCCCAAGCTCTGCTAAGCGCAGCCRCAGGCCTCGGGAAGCAGAAGCATTTGGAGGGTGAAATTTGTTACTTACTTGCGCTTCAACATCTGTTAATTTGCGGGTCTGCTCAGCTGTTTGATTTAATAAGTTTGTGCCTATTTCAATCATTACTGCAGTCTGGTTCTGCACTGCAGTTTGCTGGATCTCTACCATTTCTTTCTTCATACTGTCTTGGATGTAATTCTCAAGCTACATGGGAAAGGAAAGAGAGAAGATAGTTGCATTCTTTCAACGTGGGAAGGGGGGCGGTTTGCACAGTCAGCCCGCTGGCTGCCTCGCCAAACAGAGCTGCTCCTGCTCCCTGCCCGCTGTCCCTTTCCGTGAGGGCTTCCCTGCTGCTGACAGAGAGCAGCCTCCGCCGGGGCCACCGCGTTTTCCAGCCCGCAAGGACTCTGTCTGTTCCCCAAGGCCCCGAGGCGAGAGCGGCCGCCGGCCCTTGAGGCCSCCGGCCAGTTCCCGCTCCCACCGCTGCCAGGGGTGCTTTGCAAGGCAAAAGCTTAAGAGTTTAGTCACCCTCCCCTGCCTAGACTTGGTGGTTTTGATCACATGAGGAGAAGTCACAGATGCAACCCTGTTACATGCGGGCTTTTATCTGAGACGCTTTCACGGACCTATATGAAACAGCACAGCAACCTATAAGTTCTTTACGTAATATTTAGGAATACAAAAAGCATTTAAAATACTTGATTCCATAGCTATTTCTATGGCTAAACTAATAAGGCTTTTTTTTTTTTTTTTTTTTT